GCAGTTAACTGCAAAACTTTTTTAAAGTGCCATCCGTGGGCGCCCATGGACGTAACTGGTTTTTAAGGTGCTATCCATGGACGCTTATAGACGCAACTGTTCCGTCCATGGACGCGAAATTCGTGTCCACAACAGTCCCTGGTGGATACAACTTAGCCGTCTCAATTAGCTAAAAAGACATTTTCTTTTAAACATATCTATGTTTAAGAACGAAAATGGTTCGTATTGCCTATGAGAAAATAGTGAGTTGTTTTCTGTTATGAAAATATCCACAAATAAATAACTTTTTACTGCAGTGAGTTTTCACTTACTTACACTATTTATTTATCCTGGCTCATGTTACAATTTTTCTTTGTGATGCTAGGTTAGGAGAAGAGTTATTTAACGTTCTTGAACTAGTTTCACTTTTTCTTTTTGCTCTTATCTTTATCATAGGCTGATTGTCTATTTTTGTATTAAAAAAAGTCGTCTGAATCCATTTTTTACATGTAAAGCCAAAAAATCGTACGTACAGTTAACTAAACCACGATGATGACACATATGGCAAAAATCGATATTTGAAACAATTTTGTGTTTTTACAGAACAGTAGATTTAGTTTTGCAGTTTACTGTTAAGCTAAGTTCATGTTTTCGAATCTCTATTCGTACAAAAATGATTTTGTTTTTCGATAGTTTTAGTTTAGAATACTATAATGAAATATTTTTCCGCTTATATTCTGAAGGAATAAAGCTTATATCAACAATTTTATTTGTCGTCTTATTTAAATCTTGTTGCTTTGGTAATATAATAATAATATATAATAATAAAACAAACTCAAATTCAATCGGTTTTGTCAATAACATCGTCATCAACGTTTTCAAAAAACTCGATCAATAACAAATGTTTCCAATCTTTTTTTCTAAAAGCTGAATTTAATTAACTATGGATTTTACCAACGTGTACGTCTAAACTGGGCATGCATCAGTTATGACAGTTTATGATCGGTTAACCGGTACATTTGCTTAGTCCAAACTAAAGATGAGTAAAAATTTATAACATTTTTGTATAGTGCGTTATATCGATAAAATTTATGTTATCTCACACAAGAAATTCTATTGTTAGAGTGATGAGAATACACCTGAACTATTCTACTTTACAAAGAAATTCTCAACGTGAGTTTCTTCTGTCATGTTCTGACAATAAAACATTCCATCTTAAAATATTATAACGCTAAAGTTGCAACTATCCATGTTTTTCTGTTTCTCGTGTCTAAATTAAAAGTTTTTGTTTTGAAGTAGTTTGTACATGTCAAGAAAATTAGAACTAATTATATTTAGCACGAGTAACAGGTAATTCAATTCCATCAGTTTTTGAACTTATTATTACTTATAATTGTAGAGGAGTACTATAGGTTATTTGAACACTATTTGCATCTATTGTGGATTAAATAAAAGTTTCTTTTTTTGTTCAACGTATTTGTATAATAATAACTAATCAATCGTATCAAGACTTTAGTGCTAAAAAATTTTTTGTAACTGAACTTTTTTCAATTTCAGCTTTCACTATGAGTTAAATTGTATGACTTTTAGTTCAAGTCCTCTGTTATAGCTGAAGCTTTTTTATTGTTCTTTCAAAGAAATTCAACTTTTCTCCTCTTTGCTTTTTTAACATACAACAACAAATATGCGGATACAACACAAAAACAATGGTTGAAATCGTTTGATTGTTTGTTTATGTTCAATTTTATTCATTATCAACATTTGCTGTCATAAGACCTGTAATAAACAAGAATTTTATCTTATATTAAATTTCAGAAGCAAATTGAAAACAATGATTTACCTTTAAATGTTGGTACACGAACATAAGTAACAAGTGTATAGAGTTTGTGTGGTGAATCTTCATCTTCATTTCTTTGACGTGCTAATCGAATACGTACACGATATGGAACATGACTATAAAACAAAAATAAATATTAAAACACTAAATAACGCTCTATAAAAAGATTCCTCTTCTTACTTGATTCCTTGTGACCATATTTCTTTATTTAATTCTGAATCAATTCTAACGTCTGGTGCACGCATCATTTTTTCAGCAAAACGTTTTATTTCTTTAACAGCACATGGTGCACGTTTTTTAAATGCACTAAAAACAACAACAACAACAACATTTAAGAAGTGGTAGTGGAAAAAAATTTACATACACTCCATGTAAACGTTTATGTAAATTAATTGTATACTCTCGTGTAACAACTTCATTTGTTATTTGTTTTTTTTTCTCGGCGTTTTTATTAGGCGCCATACTTTTTTGTCTGTTTGTATTATGGTCTCAGAATCAAAACACTGAGGATCAGATTAATCTACAATATAATCAATAAAAAATTCGATAAAGATGACAAAGAGAAATGATACAGCTTACTTGACACCTTTCAATAGAAGAGAGCTATCATGTACATAGTGATGTTTTGTGAGACTTTGTCTAACTAGAAGTCTGTCTTGACACAGTTTTGAAAAGATTCATATAAAACTAAACTCAATTGTAAAAGAAACTATATTCAATTGTAAAAGAAACTGATGCTTAGCCTTTGAATCACTACGCAACTGGATATTGTAAAATTATGAAAAACGAGATACTTTTTAGAATATTTTTAATAGATATGTATTTTTCTTGAAGCAAATAATATTACACACTCGAGTAAAACAAAGGAGAACGAGAGAAAAGGGAAAATGGAAAATAAAAGTAAGATACAAAAAAGAAAAACAAGCGCAAAACAAAATTTATTGTCATTTCGTTCGAGTATATTGTTATGTATATATATACATTCACACATAAATTAAAGTGAAATATGAATGAAGTTGACTGATTGAAAGCAAAAAAAAAGAGAATCCACATAAAAATAGAAACAGCTTTTTTAATGTTTGAACATCATCTAATTCTCAATGAATTTCATAGAATCGAATAAATGGAATACACAAAAAATAGGTTGAGAAAACATCGATTTTTGCGTTTTAAATAAGCCACAGGGACAGAAAGAACAAAAATAATTTATACGATATGCATTACAAATACATTGGCTATTTTATCTGCTTAATAAATAATCGCTATTATTCGTATAATTTGATGATGTAAAATTTCCACGATCATCGGTATTAGATGTACTTGAATCTAACGGTATCAGAACATCGCTACTGAAACAAACAACAAATTGGTAGTTAGATAACATAAAACATTTCTGCTGTTGTGAGAACATCCCAAAAATAGCAGAATTACTTGCTAAGTTTCTTTTTATCAGTTACTTAAGATGATGGATGGATTAAATCAAAAAAAACTTTATTTTATTTTTAAATGAATGCTGATTTTGTGCAAATGTACTTTAAAACTCGAAAGTAATGCACAAAAGAGGCTATTTGAAGTACTTTCAATTCAAAATCTTAGATTTTCCAAATTAAGTGACTGATTAGAAAAACCTATGCTACGATTTCTTTCTTTTTATGAAACTAGATCCTACACTTGTATTGTCATTTGTCACTTACCTTCTGTTAAATGTATTACTTTGAGCTTTTCTTTGTTCTACTTGATTGTGTAAGCCACCTAACAAAGCACTGTTCACACGATAATGTACACCATCACCAAGACTACAAGAAACAGACAAAGAAAACTGAGGACTTTTCTACTTTAAAAAAAGTTAAAATTGCACGTTACGTTGTTGTCACTGGTAGGAATGCTAAAAATGGACTAGAACCAAATATTTCAATAAAATTTTGTTTAACACCCAAATTAAAACCATCTTTATTTGGCCCATCTATAAATATCGGTGCTCGAAATGATTCTATGAAATTAAAATAAAAGTTAGAGAAGAAGAATATTGATTTGTATCACATACCTAGAGTAGTTCGATTTTTTCCTATTAAATATAAGTGATAGAAAAATAATGATGATACACTAATAGCAAACATAATCGAAGCAAAAAATAAAAATAATAAATGAAATTTTCCAGCTGATGTTGCTCCTGGCGTTGACGATGATGAATCCTGTAAAGAAATATACAAAGATAAATCGATTTTCTTCTCGATACATATCCGTGGAAAAAATGAAGATGAGATAATTGACAACAAAAAAAATGTTTCTTTTAGATTTCTGATAACTGAAACTAATGCTCATACCCGCCAAAATTTTATGAAATATTCAAGCGATGTGGCTGCCACGTAAAGACAAAATATTAGTGCATAGCCAAGAAATAAAACAAAAAATTTATAGTTTCCAAATGATACACAACTGTTTGTCCTAGAAAAGAGAACTAATGAAAATTAGACAATTCATGTGCTTTCTAAGATACCAATGGGGAAAACACACAGTAGTAGACAGAAACGGTAATTGACGTGACGTGAGAAAACATTGCACTTCTCTTCATAAGCCACTACCGCTCGTATATTTGGCACTGAGAATTGTCTTTTTTTTATTTCTATCGACGCTAAACATGGTTCACTAATTGTCAGTTTTACTCACCATGGACAATGATGATCGTATCTTAGAACACATTTTCCACATACAGAACAATGATGTGCACGATCAGGCTTAATACAGCGACAATTGAAACAATATCGAATACCTTTAAAAATGATAAGAATACTATTAAACGAAAAGAAGAGCAAAAATTTGCTGAATACACCCGTACTTCCATCAAAATGTCTAGTTAATAATGGTAAGTTAGCAGTACGTGCTATACGAATTAAAATATTGCGTCTGTCATCGAGTGTTTGAGCTGATGCAATATGTTCAGCTTCGGTATCCGAAATATAAAACTAAAATATTGATAAATAAAATTAATCAATTATAGATCATGTATTTCTCGCTTACGTCGGGCGGTGGCCCAGCAATCGGTTTGAACATAGTTCGATAATATGACCACATAAACAAAAACAGTAGTGGATGATAAATTAATAAGTAGATAACTAAGATGAGAAAAAGCAGAAGATTGTATAAAACGGAAAATCTTAAATGAGAAATTTTTCATACCTTTTTTAGGTATGCTATCCACTGTCACTAAATATAGTAAAACAGATAAATGATTTTATTATTTGATTGAATGTACGAATAGAAAAACTTACAAAAGCACATTTGCACAACATAAGCATAGTAAGACCATGCTACAACGCTTAAAATAAATATAACTGGAATCCATTTAGCTGCTTCAACACCTAAACAAAAAGATCAAGTGCATGTGAGTATCTGAATCACTCTATCGATACGTACAACATGTACGAGAAGAACGAAGAGCCATAAGTAGACCTAAAATAGAAAATCAAAATAATAGACACGAATAATTGTTCCAAGTTCTATTTGCAAAGTTTTTAAGAAGCAAACTAAAGCAAAGCATCTAAGCAGACACATGCAGAAGTTATCTCACTCTCTCATCTGAAACAGCAAAATGATGGCATAAAGGATAGTTATCTATAAAAAAATTTTCTTTTACCAAAAAGACTCTGTACAATGAGAAAAATTAATAAAAAAAAAACTTACGCAACTTTTTACTTCGAACGTACATAGAATGCAGCTCTGCGGATGAAGGTGCACGACAATTTTTATGCGTCTGTTGACTTTTTAAATGATATAAATCATTATTCGACTATAAAATGGAATAAACATTCCTAATATATCAAATTTGTACAAAAGTTTTAAGATTTTATTTTGAGAATTTAATTTTTCAACAGCGCTAACGACATGTAAACCATCTCAGCTTTCTCTCTTCACAATATTTGAAAGCCAAAAAAATACTAAGTTCAAATATTTTACTTTTGAAGCGATCAAACTGCATGCTAACATCACACAATATGCAATATATCGTAGCAAAAACACGATTTTCTTCTAGTATCAATTTTTAACTTACTGGTTGTGATAATAAGGGTTCTAACTGGATATCTTCAGTCTAAAACAAAAAACATTTAACAAAAGGGATCTACAGCTAAAGTAATTCATTACTTGTTGTTCACTATCATTATCAAAATCTAATAGCAATGTGCCAAAATTACTTTGTTTCATATATGTTTCATTTCAATACTGGGACCAATATCACGACTAGTCTGATATCTATAAAAAGACCCTAAATAATAAAAATTGTTTGCAAGATGTTGGACGTTTGATGAGTAAAGGTATTAAAGCAGTTCATCTCCTGAAAAATCTCGGTTTGCATAGATATAGAGAGAGAAAAAGTAAATAACAATCAATCAATCCAAATTTTAATAATATAGAGTACACTTAAATAAGGTAAAGCGAAGTACGGTTTTTTATTGGTGATTTATTCCCAAAGCTATCACTCACAAAAAATACGAGAGCTTATCGATTTTCTTTTCATGTAAGGAGATCCCAGATACTTAATATCATCTATTGAGGTGCTGAACCGTTTTTAAAGGCAGAGGACACTAGTTACTGGAACAAAGTTTGATAGAATTTCTAGTATTTTGAAGCTTGTTTATGTCTTCTGTCTAGTATTCTCGTTCTTTACATCAGATATGCGACTGATAGTGCCCTCTAATCTGAATGGGTAGAGTACTGTAATAGTCTTTTTCTAATGGTTCTTCATTCTTCTAGCTTTTTAACGTAGTACGAAGACAAGTATTATATTATGATTATGCTTGGTATGAATAAGAATCTACTATAGGGCTCTATCTCATCTAATATATTTAAAGTTTAATTCATTGGTTACTGATATACACTGTTCAAATATGGTTTGTTGGCAAACATCGAGTTTCTTATCTTACTCGCAATTCAATATCGAAAGAAAAAGTGAAGCATGTGTTAACTTTTTACCTTCTTTAATACGTAGACAAGCGAAAAGCCGAATCATTTACAGATTTTTCTTGTTTTCCTCTGAAGCCAATCATTAGTCGATAGTTAGAAATTTAAACAAAAATCAAATGAAATTTCATTTCCTGTTTTCCGTTTATTATGACCTGCCACAATTACAAAGATATCCACTATTCCATCAAAGTCCAGCAAAGTCGTTTTTTATTCTGTCGACTAGTGAGCGCTGAAAGATTGGATCACGAATATATTTGTAACTGTAACAGATCATAATAAACAGGAAAGAGAAAATGAAATCTCCTCTAAAATTAATAACTTTTTTCACATTTCTAACTTTCATCCAATAAATTGGCTTTAGAACAAAAAACGTATTTCTGCAGGAAATATATAAATGATTAGATGAGTCAGCGTATAACTGGCCACAATCATGGATCACGATCAGTAGTTTTTGAGAGAAAGAGAATAGATTCAATGGGAAGAAAGTTTATTTTTTTGAAAAAGTTGTTTAGCATAACTTCAATCTACTGCAACTTCGGATTTGGGCAATTTTACGTGCAAACCCAGGTGATTGAATCCAACTATCCGATCGTATACGACTCGTACGAAATCATATACGATTAACATACGAATCGTGGTATCTGATTTATCATCTAGTTCGTACTGTACGACAAATCAGATACCAGGATTTATATATGATTTTCATACGATTTGGTACGATTTTGTCTGATTCAGATACGATCGTATACGATTTGTTTTATCTGGGAAGTTTAAATTTTCTTACATTGACCGAAAACAACCAGAAACTTTGGTCGTAATGCAACTTTATTGAAATTTTAATATAATACTTTCCAATAAGGCTGAACTTTATAGACCTTTTTTTGATTAGAAAAGTACTAAAAGTGATCGCATATGATAAAAGAATTGGTTGCTAATAAAATGGAAGTGTTGAAATATACAAAAATATTACTTTAGCAGGAGTGTCTATCCCCATCTGAACGTTTGAAGCATTTTGTACCACCTCGGAAGTTGGAGTTCTCACTGTACCACCTGTAAAATGAATTTCTGTAGCAAAAAGTGGCCCACCTTACTTTTGTTTTAGGCATTGTGCCTCAAACATTCCACACGCTCCTGTGTTTTAGATACCCTTATTCAGATTTTTTTTAATATTTTTATTATGCCACTTATTAATACCTATTTAATATAACGCTGAAAGAAAAATGTTAACTTCATTTTTGAATAGAATGAGATCCGACCATCTCGCATTATATGAATCTATGAAAACGAGATCTTGTGACTGAATTTTTTTTGGTGAGAAAAACCTGCCGGAGCACATCAGTAAATCCAAATAAACTAATTTTTTTATAACCTCTGAATCTGTGAGAGATGAGAATTTTAATCTGAACTTATAGTTCGTTTTAGTTAAAAATATGTAATTTTGTCATTAGAAAAAGCATAACAACAGCAGCAGTGTGAATCATTTTATTTTATTTTAAATTCCGACGTTTCGATTTATTAAAAACTTTTTCTATTGAAAATTCTACCTATTAGAAATAATAATGTTAATTTCGTCATGCTTGCACAAATTGAGCGTCAGCAACAACAACATTAACGGCAAATTTTAGCGGAAGAAGTAATGACATGCAGAAGTACTCAGCGTATTTTGATTTTGATGTAAAAAAACATGTTTTTTTCGTTGTTTCTAGATTTTTAAACTGTAATCCACACTACAAATCTTTTCAACTGTCACTTTATTGACAGTAATAACTTGATAGGATTCCTCTTTAGGAAAGGAAGGTACTTTCCTGTCAACCGCCAGTTTTTTGTTTTCTCTGTGTTTGTTGAATTTTTGAATCTATTTACGTTCTATTCTATATTCTAGATCAGTTTGTTTGATCAAACAACATTAAAGCCATGGCAACAACTATGGGAGGGAGTACAGATGCTCCGCCATCAGATGCATCAACCACAATGATCAAATTAACAAGTAACGATGGGCAAACATTCGAAGTTAGTGAAGATTTGATCAAACAAGCAACAACCATTAAAGAAATGTTCAATGGTATGTGAAAAACTCTCTCATTTTCTTTGTTTTTGCTGAAAGCAAGTAGAAGTTAAAATTTGAAAATGAACCTGTGTTCTTTCGTAGTTCTTGATGTTGCATCGTCAGACGTGGCCATTCCTTTACCAAATGTTAAAGGTTCAATATTAAAACCAGTATGTAGTCGTGTCTGTGTGTCTGTGTGTGTGTGTGTGTGTGTGTATATATATATATTGTTACAAACACGAGAGTGAACCATTGATTCTTTTATTTTTTAGATCATTGATTTTTGTGAGCATCATAAAAACGATCCACCACCAGTGGTGGATGACGACGATGATGATCCAAATAAAGATATTCATGAACCAAAACGGTAAGATGACTTTTTTTCTGTCTAAAACTGTATAAAAGAGGTCTAATTTCCATTTTATATTTCTTTCTAGTTCTGATGATATAACTGAATGGGATCAAGAGTTTATTAAACAGTTTACTGTTAAAGAAGGAACATTATTCGACATTATTATGGTGAGTTGGTTAGATAGGCTGTGTAACTCAAGAGCACTAAAGAGTGTTTTATGATTTATTTGTTTTTTTTAAAGATGTTTTACAAGTAAAAAATAAATATTGTTTGCGTTTAGGCTGCTAATTATCTCGGTATAAAAACGTTATTAGCTGTTGGATGTAAAACAATTGCAAATATGGTTCGTGGAAAATCATCTACAGAAGTTCGTAAGTATGAATGCCAGTAAAACAGCAATATTGATTAGAGTATTTTAATTATACATTTACTTCTCTAGGTGAAATGTTCAATATTTCGTACGATCCACCAGGTCAAGGTTTAAATGCACCAGCACAGGCTATCGAAGGTGGTGATTCAGGTTCAATGCCTACAACACCTCAGCCATCTGCAAGCTCACAACAACAAAATGGTTTAGGTGACAGTGCACCAACTCCGGCGCCAGATCCGATGAACGAATAAAGAGGGACTAACAGCATCTCGATGCGCCTTCCGGTGACAACATATTGAAGACGTTCTCTTTGCACTCAAAATGTCGAGTACCTTTTTTTTTTTTGTTTTATATGCTTGTATTTATGCGTGACGTAATGGTTTTTTATATGAGAGTGTATATAGACGCGAACTATAGACTCTTTGCAACGGAAATCGTTTTCTTTTCTTTTTCATTTAATTGTGATACAGAACTAAATTTGTTTGTGTCAGATTTCTGGGATATTTTTTTATCTATCACAAAAAAGACTGACTTCAACGATCTGTGTGTCATTTAGTGTGAAACTTATGTTGCAATATGTTTTTTACTGCACGACTGAAAAATGACTTGTGTACTGTGTTGAGATGAGACTGCGGTGAATAGAAGCTATTCTAGATCGTAATCAAGTGATTTAGTATTTCAAAATCAGTGTTAACATTCGATTAGATTTTATTGACAATATCCTTGACGATTACCTGCTGCGCTTTTCTAATTTATTTTAATTTTTATTCATAGCAATCGAGCTACTGTTTGATATTTGGTTTATCCAGTAGAAAAAGCCAAAGTCACGTCTAGAGAAAGAAATGACTCCTTAGAAAAAAGTTTACATAGTTTGAAAAACAGCTGAAATCTACAATTGTGATAAAAGTTATCTGTACATAGTAGAATTTCATCTGAATGAAGTTGAATGCAATGATGGTATATCAGATTACGATCGGTCTTTTATATCAGATTTATTATTCATCCTCCGAAAACATTGTGTGACATCGTCAAGGGAGATATCTGTTTTAATAAGTCTTTTTTTTTATACAAAAATAGTCTGTTTCTTTCTAACTTTTAGTGGACAGCTAATTATCTTGTCATCAGAAGTTTATTAACTGTTTGTTGCAAAATATCCGCAAATACGGTTGATATGAGAAAACTACGTGTAATTTGTTTTCAAATTTTCTCTTTCATTTATATTAGATTCGGACTAAAACTAAATTGCTCAATATTTAGTGTGATAATGAAAATGTAGAATCCGATGGTAATTAACGTCTAAGTATTTTTCTTTTTCTCGTTTTCGTATCTGCAGTACTCTTTGAGGATACCATCGTTTGAACGATAAGAAAACGAACGAATTGTGTAATTTCCTGTTTCTTTTATTCGTGACTGTGATGGAATATACGTTATTTCATAATTTAAAGGAAACGAAAAAAAATGACGTATTTTTGTTTTAGTCATCAGAGTATTTCTCTTTCGTTTCTGACGCACCTCTTGCGGTCCGTCACTACAGATGCGGCTAGTTTTCTCCTACTCAAGCATTCTTGTAAAAGTTTTTCATTAAAACTTTGAATCTCAAATGTTCGCAGATAATTTTCACATTATGTTTGCATTTAATTTGCTATTGATCTCTTAAAAATTCGAGTAAAATGATGAATTATTCAGTATTTCTAAATATTCTACCATACTGAAGAGAACAGGTGTGACTATTTTTACACGAAGAAAATATTTTATTTCAGATTATCACTTCTTCAATTGTTGAATTTCAATCGAGAAAAATCAATTTTTTTGTGTTTTACGATTAAACAAAAAGAAGAAGTATGGCGCATAAAATTCGATTACAGTCAAGTGATGGAGATACGTTTGATGTAGATGTTGAGATAGCTAAACAATCAGCAACAATAAAAACAATGCTCGAAGGTGAGAAATGGACGATAACTGCAGATTAATTTAAATTCTGTTTTTATTTTTGTAGATCTTGGTATGGAAGATGAAGATGATGTTATTCCTTTGCCAAATGTTAATTCTGCCATAATGAAACGGGTATGTTTATTTGTGTGATTACTATTTGAGACATCAACTGCCATTTGCTAGCACATTTAGCAAAATTATTCTCAAAAATTCATGGTCCTCACTTCTACGACAATTAAGTATTCTTAGATGAAAAATAAGTATTTATTGGGCAAAATAGAATTTCATTTGTATGAGACCTGATACTAATTTCTCATTTAGACGTTAAAAAAAATACGGTTCTTATTTTTGTTTCTGTTAGGTTATAACATGGTGCACACATCATAAAGATGATCCTGCGCCACCCGAAGACGATGAAAATCGTGAGAAAAATACAAATGATATAAGCTCATGGGATCAAGATTTTCTTAAAGTTGATCAAGGAACATTGTTTGAATTAATACTTGTAAGTGTCCTATTTTTCTTTGTCAATTATGTCTATTTTTATCTGTCGGTCTTTTATTGTTTTATAGGCAGCCAATTATCTTGATATAAAAGGTTTACTTGACGTTACATGTAAAACGGTTGCTAATATGATTAAAGGAAAAATGCCAGAAGAAATACGTCGTACATTTAACATTAAAAATGATTTTACACCGCAAGAAGAAGGTAAACGAACCATTCATCTAAGTATAATTTTTAATAATCTATTTCTTTTTCTTTAAGAACAAATTAAAAAAGAAAATGAATGGTGTGAAGAAAAATAGACGAGCAAAATCGAAAAATAATAATATAATAACAAATTAAAATGCTTATTGAACATTTTTCTTTTTCTACTACTCTCATAACTACTATTTTATTTACGTTTTCCTCTATCTGTGGCGACATTTTTGTGTGTACTATATGCTCTTCATCTATCTTTTTTGTTCTGATACGATCTTCATATGCCATACTAACAAAAACAAAAATTATTCACGTGTGCATTTTCTCTAGTATAAACGGTAAAGAACAAGAATAACTAATTGTTTATAGATTTTGATGTCTTTCTGCGTGCTTTTTTTCCTTGTAACTCAAATAAACTAACGATTTAAAATGTACAGTCAAATTTGAAGAAAGAAGAAAAAAAAAAGCGTCTAAATCTATGATAAGTTTTCCTAAAAAGAAACTGATATTTGTATGTATCTGTTGAAAAGAGGAACACGACAATCAAACTCACATTTAGATTTCTAATTGTAGAGTAGATCTTTGCGAACCGATGTCTGAGCTTTTCAATATGATGTTTCTTGCGATCAACAAAATTCAATTAATTTTACACTTCTCGCTGTGGGCAGGAAAGTGAGGGTAGTGAGAGTGAGTGGAAAAAGAACAATTTATGAGATGAAACTTTGTTTTAGAAAATATCCGGTACACAAAGTCATTTTGAACGACTTCAACTACAGTTGAAGGAATGAATCGAAAAAATCTCCAAGTCACGGCAGAATATATGTGTGTGGTTGTATAAGGGATCGCTCAAATGTCGCCCAATTCTACCGTGATGAATATTTGTCTATGAATGTGTTGACTCTTATTCTTTCAAAGATCACTGTCGGTTACAAATATGGACCGTTGTATCTTAAACTATTTACTATGTGGGATGATCCGAGAAATGCACTTTAACCCTAGTACTACCAAGTGGGTCATTTTTGACCCATACCGAAAAATTTGAAAACATAGTGGGAATATTTTGTTACTTTTTTTCTATCCTTAATTCGATGCTAGGGTCATTGTGCTCCAATGCTCCAAATGGTCAATGCTCCAAATAAATAAAGGTCGTTATTTTGACAGTTTCTTTATCGCATTGAACATGCGAATGACACGTAAGTACTAAAATACTGATGAAAAAATAAAATAATCCGTTAAGAAAAACTGTATACTACCAATGGAGTGCTAAAAAAAGGCTTGGTACTACTAGGGTTAAAGGGATAATTACTTTTTATAGTGATAAGATTAAATTAATCAAGAAATGTCTTTCTGGATTGGTGATGCTATACTTGTCCTTTCTTTTTGATGATTCACTTCTTGAGTGAATCACTTTTTGATTATTCCGGGAGAATCACCAAGAAAGTGAATTGATTACTGCTGACTGACATACTACTACTCAGGGCCGCACGTATCGGAAGGGTGTAGGAGGATGTGCATCCCCGAATAATTGAAATTTTTTTGTTTTTTGTAGTGAATGATTAGAAAATCAGCCCTTTCACAATATCACTAGAAACAAGGCATAACAAAACGCTATCAGTACTGTGGAGTAGGGATGGGACAGTTCCAGTCCAGTTCTTTTCAGAAAATTAAAATTGAAATAAAACCGGTGAACCTACTTACATTGACTTTGTGTAGTGCACCAGAGGTTGATGGTGTGTTTAGTTGACTAAACCAAGTCAATATAACTAGCTACATCGATCTGATTTGATTTTGAATTCTTGAAAAGAACTGGTAACCACTTCCCATTCAACAGGAACTGAACTGGTGACCAGTTCTTAAGAGCTATAGGAGCTGGAACTGTCCCACCCCTACTGTGGAGCTCATTTCTAACATTTTATGATATTATGAGCGGAAAACATTTTTCGGCTTTCGTACTACATTGGACGACTGTTTTAATAGATTTTGCACTACCTCGGAGACATATTGCATTTTACAGCCCTCTAATATTCGTTTCTTATTTGTGGCTCTGCTACTGCTATGATTGTTATTTAACACCGCATGTAGCGCACACATACACATCACTAATTTTATTTTCAAATCTACAAATCAACAACCGGTAAAATCGCGAGTGAAATGCAGTAAAAAGACTTTTTTGTCTCGTATACAAAAAGATTCTTCATATATTCAACCGCACGTACACACATGATTAATAGAACAGAGCAATAAAAGTAGATAGAAAAATAACAGTAAAAAAAGAGGACCATACTCAAAATTTTTCTTGTTGTTGATGATACTGATTTGCTTCACTCGTTTGCATTTGATGAATATAATTCATTTAACGGTGTATTGTATTAAAAAATTTCCTGCTTTACTATCCTATCCCAAAGTTCGTTGAATGAGCATTGTTGGATTTTTATTTATTATGCTATAAGTGAAGTTAATCTTACATTATCTCGCATTGATTGATAAAACAGTGTTTGATCGTTGTTGTAGTAATGATTTTAAACTGCTGAAGGGATCAGGTGGTACTGGAACGTTTTTTTCTGGTAACGATTCGACAGATGGTATCAAAAATTGTTCAATGGGTTTTATAATTCTCTGAATTGAAAATAAAATAAAGATACGTTACTTAAAAACTAATGCTCATTGACCGACTAAACTTACTACACGCTACCAGGTTAATACAACCAAAGAATTAGCCTCAAAAAGCATGGTGCCCGATCAAAAACATTTTTTCATCGTTTCTAAGGTAGGCCTAACTAAAAATGACATCGATTTTGAATCTGGACTCTTTCATGTTTGGATTATCAAAGAAATTTTTAGTTAGCGACCTAAACATGGTGAGAAATGACGGTATTTTCCGAAAATTTTCCCTAGAGATGAGTTCAGCACAGACAGTTTCTACCCTTTTTTCACTTGTTCAAAAAAAGTTTACACGTTGTTACGCTACTCTGTAGCAAGCACAGTTTTTATCATGTATGCAGAAAAATGCATTTTTTTCCCCGGAGAATATGAGGTTTTCTAAAACCTATGCTTTTTCAGAAAAAATAAGATCATATTTGGAATCAGCGAGTCGAGTTACATTGATTCATGTATGAAGCAATAACTTTTGGATCAAATACCCATCGAAATTTTTTCTTATAAACCAGCAAGACCGATGTTTCGAAAAAAGTGATAAGCAATGATAACTATTCACGAAAAAATGGTTTACGAGCAAGAAATTGTGATATCCGCTTGCTATTAGAAAAATGCCCATTGTGTCTCGTCACCGTTTTTTTTAAAAGATCGATACTATGAACTGAGCACGTGGCTAGATAGCCAAGGTATCTATTATTAGGATTCATACTGGTTCTGGTTCATTAATGATTTTTGAAATATTTTGAAAATGTTTTATAAAAGCCTTAAAAAGCCGATTTTCTGAAAAGTTGTGCTGTACACATAGCAACCAAAAATGCTTTCAATAATGCCAGATTGTGAGCAAAAAGAAATACTCAACATTTCAGACTCGGATTTTTGCTGTACAAATACCTTGATTTGAGCAGCATTCGCTAAAGAGTTTCATTAAGATCGAACAGCTCCTCTCGAAGACGGATTTGAGAGTGAGAGACTTAATAGAAAATAAGGAGTTGGCTATGGTACTGTTTTATCTACTTTTGAAACAAATACTAAGTAGAAAAAGATGTAGTAGAGTATTTTAGGATAAATAGAGACACTGTTTGAAGTTTTCATCGTTTTTTTGTTATTTCTTGGCTGTTTTTGGTCGGAAAAACTTGCTTAGTCTATAAAATATATTCAAATTAATATCCCATGTTGTATGAAGCCAGTATGAAAGCTTATCCACTAGAATAGTGGGTTAATTTTTACATATATGATAGAGTCTAGGATTCTAAACAACTTCGTCTTTTTATATAGTATCAAAATTTGGTTCTGGGAGGCGGTAGAGGTTTTCTTCTGCGAATTCCGTATATTTCAAGGGAGTGTCTCTATTTACCTCAATGCATAAAAATCAAAAAACGACAATTTCAGATACAGCTGACTGTCCCTTAATCAGCTTAATGAGTTGAAATGATAATGACCTGAAAACAATATGATGGAGAGAGACAGATCCGGGCTATAACGACAAGTATTTTTGAACTAATCAACTATCTCTTAGCCTGAATTAACAAAGAATTGTTCATTAAAACTTTATGTATTTGAATAGTGTCTCTGTTTACTCCAGAGTACTCTATGCAGTCAAAGAGTAGAAAATAATAGACATATGTCACCAAAAAACTTAGTACACTGATAGTAAGTAAATTAGTATGAACAGAATTCTGTTCCCATTCAACAGATATTTGAAGTAGCTTAAATAATCTTGTCATAGAGAGCACGTTATTTAAAATCATTATAATCTAATCTGAGTTTTAGCAAAAACGGAAAAAGTCAATAAGAAAATTCAAATAAGAATGAAATATGTATCTGAATAGAATGTTTATTTTGAGAAACTAATGTGAATTACTATAGGCGCCAGAAGTCAAGACACACGGATGTTTTTTGAATAACTTTCAATATAAACGAGATAGAGACCTGCGGCGTTCGCCATCATATTGCTAAGACCTTAAGACATATTTCTGTAAGCAGAAACTTGTTTCAAAATTTTCTGGAAGTCCGATTTTTTAGAGGATCTTTGGAAAACCAGCTCCATTCTCAGGAAACTAACATACAATGTTAGTAATTTTTTTGCATGCGTCAGTAGTCCGGACGTGCTCTCCAGCTACCGTCGTTCGTCCAGGGCTCGCTTTCCCCGAGCGCGTGTCTATCTATAAGTTATTCAAAAAACATCCGTGTGCCTTGACTTCCGGCGCCGATAGTAGTTAGTATTGACAGCAGCGGAGGAGAGTATGGAGGAATGAACCAATTTTTCTCATTCTTTAAAGTATTTTAAACTATTTCAGATAGTCCTATCAATAATTTCCACTAGTTTGACAGTTAAGTGTAAGGTAATAGGTAATAACGGTCGAAAATTGTTAGAAAAAAAAGGCAGAGATTTCATAAAAATCATCCTTTCTTAAAAAAAGAGTCTTTCTTCTCTAAGATAGTTTAACCGGCACAATATCTGTGATTTCACCAGACCTATGGTAATAGAATAGTACAGTCCTCGTTTATGAGCTCTCGCTCAAGTTCTTAAGTATTTTTTTTGCGCGAGAACTATATAAGCTTCAAAAAAACGATGTAAAGGAAAAAATTTTTTATTCAACTACTTCTGTATGCTTTACTTCATTCCATCAACTTATTTCACAAAATGATTACGTTTACAACTCAATAGAACACAATTTTGAAGAATGTCTAGGTGTACTAAATAATTGGTAATAGATAAGTAAGACTCTTGTATTACATACAGTTGACAACAGCGAAGAAAGTTTCATTTATTGCCATTTTCAAAGAATATATAGTTTTCGGTATTCATATGATGAATAAGACAAACGATTCTATTAAAGAATTATCAAAGACAACACAATGGTTACTCAAGAATTGGATTTCTACTCAACAATCATCGTCAATCAGTACAATAGTTACATCAAATTCGCAAAATAATTATTATTCAACAAAACTGGTAAAATCGTTTCAAGATTTATTAGACACAAACAATAACCAGATTCGTCGCTTTAAAACATCAAGTACCGATACTCTGTCAACAATGGTAATAATGGAAGAAAATATGAAAATTTTAGATGAAAAATTAGAACAGTTGTCAAATATATCTTCAATTTATCACTTTGAAGTAATAAACAATGATCGAAATATATCTTACAAGACAACAATACAAAAAAGAAAAAATCAGTAAAATATTTAGTCACGGATGGAACGAGATGAGTTCTATTACATTTTCTTTTAGAATAAAGAAATGTTATTCAGAATCTAAATTGGGGACTAATCTGAACGAAAGAAAAGGATCACAATTAAATGAGATACAGTGTAAGTCTCTTTCTCTCAAATCTCTGCAGAAATTTGCATTCATTTTTTGTTGATAGCTCTACCATTTCATGATCAAAATGAGATACTATTCAAATCATATTGGATCAAACCGAATGATTTAATAGAAAATGTGCTCAGTAACACAGGACTATCATCAAAAACATGTTGTTTCAATTCGAGTATCAATCGAAATGCAATAATGAGTGCTGAATCAGTGTGCATGCCAATGGCGATTAAAGAGCATTGTCGTTTTACAAATATGAACAAAAATAATCAAGATATTAGCGATTTACCGAGTTTTCACTCAACATTTAATTTAATAGACCAACGTTATCAACCAGATTATAATACCCAATTTTATTCGTATAAATATTTTAGTAAAACGAGATTCTTAATTGAATGCATTCCACATATTTTAACAGAAAGTCTGTTATCATTAATCTATCTAGGCGTTTCTAAACTATTTCATTAAAAAAAAAGATTAACTTTTATGGTAGAAAACAATTATTAATGGGGTGCGAAGCATACCGCATTACCGTGGTCATGTGTGTCGTTTTATTCCTAGGTCAGAAAAAGTGTCATTTTCTGTGACGATTTTTCTGACAAGTACAAGTGCTGTTTCGGAAATTGAAAAACAAGGAGATAAAACCGTGGCTGAATGTTGGAATGTTCCCTTTTGAGACTGTTTGAATGTTGTGTGTGCTTTCTAAGGCGTCTAAAAGTAGGTGAATTGAATGTTATGTACTTAGAAATTGTTCAAGAAAATTAATAATTGATCTAACAGCGTACAGGCGCCTTATGAAGTTTACTAGTAAGTGATGTTGCGTGGTATCATGTTGGAAATGAGTCATTAGCATAAGGTAATTGTGACACAACTTTATTTTTCAAGACACTAAGTTGTATGATTTGCTTCGCACTGACCTCCCACTCCGCCTCTTTTTTCACGAACACAGTACCTATTGACGAACAAATTCGTTATTGTTGATTCATCCAGTGATTCATGTCATCAAGTATTTTTGCTCTTGGCTTTCACCAGTCGTTAAGCTCGGGGTCTTCAATCAATTGAGACTAGGAATTCTCTCAGCACCCATTAACAAAGTGCCAATCCAATATATGTAGTATATTTAGAAATAATGATAAAACTGACTGAAAACTTCTGCACTCGAACTGACTATATCTGAATGTAGGCTTTCATATATATATCCAAAAGAACAAAGACATGTAATATAAAAGAAAAAAATAGACAGAAATAGCTAAAGATGATACAGTCTTTAATATAGAATAATAGTGATCACAACTAGGCGACAAAAAACAATAGATGAACGAAATTTCTGTTGTTTTTTCGTTTGTTTTCTCATTTTGCAGTGCGCATATTATGAACGATGCAAAATATATGTGAACAATACTGAATTTCATTTTTCACTGTTTCGATTCGCCATTGAACGCAGACCATAGATAAGCCACCGTTGCATGCTTGTACACTTGCGAAGATATTTATTTGTTAGTATTTTTCGCCCGAAAATACTGAATTCCTCTTTCTTTTTAAACTACGGATCCTCTTTTTTCCTCTTTTTTTACAAACTGTCGGTGGGATACCAGGCTTCGCACCGTATTCGCCAGTCTCGCGTGACGTGATTGCCACCTAGTTTTGTTTAGCGGCTTCTACTAAAGTCGGCTTAATCATAAATTTATTAGATACTACTCTATGTACAAGAACAAAAGAATGCTGAAATTTTTCTTCATACTGAATAAATTAAATCAGTAAACGTATTTAAAAATGTAATTGATGTTGTTCATAAAATTGTTTTATACTTAAATGAACTGATGGTGATAACGGAGAGACTAGAGACGAAAGCATAAATGATAGCGTTTGAGATTGTTGTTGTGATGTTGTGATGGTAAATCGACTACTATCAGTTAGTTGTTTCTTGTCTGGCCTGTGTCGAACACGTTTATTTTGAAACCATACACGAATTTTAGCATCAGATAAATTTAATTGTGTACCTAGACGTTCAATTTCATGTATACTAGGATAACGATTTTGATTAAGATAAAATTGATTTAATGTCCATTTTTGAATATCGGTAAATTTTGTACGTTCTTGTTTCACTTTCTTACAATAAAGAAAAGAAAAATTCAAGAGAATTTTATTATTCAACTCATATGAAACTTTAATATCTTGTCTAATTATATCGAATGATTGATTTCAATAAATACTTGATAGTCCAAAATATTTTGTCAAATAAGAGATAATATTCATTCATTCGTCTTTTAGAAACAAATTTCACATACCTTCGTATCATTTATCATTTGTTTATTCTGATTTTTGATAATTGATTTTTTATTCTCTTTATCCGATAAATGACTATTTTGAGTATCCGATGTCATCGAATTATAACCGGTATCTAAAAGAAAAGAAAATTAGTTTCAAATTATTTTTGTTCGTGGAATAGTAATTCATATTTTTTCCAATTACCTGTACTATTACAGCTAAATAGTTAAACAAATTCATCAAAAAAGAAAACTTACCTTATAAGTTGAATTCAACAATAAATAGCTCAAAAAACTTTGCTTACCTTGTAGCATAGAATGAGAAAGGGAAGAAGAAGAAGAAGAAGAGAATGATAATTTACTATTTTTAACAGAAGTACTACTGATTGCTAACGATTCAACTGATTTAAAGTTAGTTTTTGGTGATGAACGATTGAACGGTTGAAATGCTGAATTTGAAGAGGATAAGAAAGACGGTGAAGATGATGATGGTAGAGTTAAATTGAATGAATGACAATTTGAATGATAGGGAGTACTTGTATACGCAGGACTAAATAGTAAAAATTTATTATTATATTAAATTATAGATTATTTTCTTGAAAAACATTTTCTGTACCTGAGTGATATACTATTATCATTTCCGACATCAACAGACAAACTACTATCATCAGAAAACCGTCGACGATCCATGTATTGATTAGTTATCAATGTATATAGAGTGAAATGAATAAGATATTATGTTTTGTAAAAGTTGGTACGATGTGAAATTATGATCAGTTTTTTTTTCGTTATCAAATAATATATCAATATTGAACCTATTTTTCTTATTCGTTCATAACTATTGGATATTTTTCCTTTCTGTTTTCTTCTCACTCGAATTCGTCATATATAAAACAATTAGATACATTTGATTGTTATTGAATATTTTCATCCAATTTTGCTGTGTAAATGACAATAAATGTATCTCTGTTACATCAAATTGATTGAATAATATCACTCTAAGAGTATAGGATAGCAATAATAATCTACCTATTTTATTGTTAAATGGTTTAAGAGAGAGGCAACCCATTTGTTTAGTTATAATAGCATGCATGTCGATGATAATTTCTACACTCAATATACATCACAGAACGAATATGAGCTTAGAGAGAGAGAAACTTTAAGTATAATATCAACTTGATCATATTTTGATGGAAAAGAGAAGGATGAGTAGCATAAGAAACGTTAACTAGTTATTCAATGAAACAAGGTATTTTTTCCAGAAATCGCATAGATAAAAGTTTTGTCCCACATAAAAATAAAAAGTATCTTTTCTAAAAATCGAAAGAAATTTCTTTGAATAAGTAGTAATACCCACATTCTCCAGGCGGCTGTTCCTGAGTAAGTGTACGATTATTGTTAATTGACATAATGTTTTTCGATCACGGTACCACTAATATTTTCCACTAGTAACTATTTTATCATGATACATGATTGTTTTTGACTTAGAATGACTCTCTCTATCTCAACATCGCATTCTGACAAGAAAAAGTCTGTGCAAAAAAAACTTTTAGTTTTTGATTAAAAAATCGCTGATGAAACAAATGTTTTTCACGTGAAAAAATATCTTAGATAATAGTTCAATTATATATTATTCGTTGTAGTTTTTGATACTGATCATAATATCATATTTGTCTTAGATGAAAATGCTTTTGGAATGGTAAAATGAATTTTGCGCGAAAAATTCTTTGGTTTCTAGAAAACTTATTTCTAGGTTTTTGAACATTTGTGTATTTTTGTGCTAAAATCATGATGTAATATACATAAGGAATATCTGTGTAAAATTATAAGTTATATTACAAGTTTCGAAAAAAAGTTATTGACACTTTGATCAAGTATTTTTTTAGCCAATTTTCTACAATAAGCTTTTTCATCTTTCTAGTAGAAAACAAAAAATTGAAATTTATGAAAAAATAATTGACATTTATAGGTGTACTATACATGAAGAAAAAATCAAAAGTGGCAGACCGTCACTTTTCGATCGAATGTCTACATGTCTGCCTACTGCATACACTCTCTCTAATTAGTCATTTATTTTTAGATATTTTCCAAATAATATTTAACAACATTTTACACGAATAAGAATACATACCATTACAGAATATCATTTTTACGATGAGAAAATGTTAGAAGGAGTATTCAATTCTCCCATGTTATTTTAACAACTTGATCATCAACTGATTGATTGATATCTATACTGAATTTTACTCAAATGGTAATATACATCGATCATACTTGTTAGTTTTGTAGAGAGAAAAAGAAATCACATTCTTATCAAGAAAAGAGAGGAAAATAATACCACTAGTATTCTCTACGCTAAGAACATCAACAATCTATAAGATAACAATAGAGATCTGTGAGAAATAGTCGAACTAGTATCAACGTTCAAAACTTCTATGGGCGGAAAAAGAACGTCACGTTTTTCGATAATTGACTGTTTTGTATTCAAAGTAGTGACCTAATAAATTTGATGTTTGTTGACTTTTTTGATTTGTACATAACAATAACAGTTGGATAGTAAAATACAAATTGGTGCTTGGGGTAATATTATAATTTGTTAGAAATATGATCAATAATCTATCTCGCACACACATACAAATCGATTAACGTACAACTGAGAATAAAACTAGTCCGTCTGATTATGTGTTGTAAACTATTTAAATAATCTAAATATTTTTAGTTGATTGATTTATCGTAGTTCACGTGGTGTTTGTCATATTATTCGAAAAATAGCAGAGAAACCGTTGTATACAACTCGCAGTATTGCAAGAAGTATGAGATTAGATCTCTGCTAAATCTCGTTATGAATATGCATATAGTGTAATAAAGTATCAATTCTCCTAGATAGAAGAAATGGGTTTCAGGGGTACAGACAGAGTTAAGGTTTCTTCAATACTATCCATTTTTACCATTCTGTGTTTGAGTGTGAAAACATTTCAAGCTGAAGTGGCTGAGTTAATGTTGTTCACGAAAGTGTCAAGGTTACATCAAACATCGAATGTATAGAACATGATATCGATAATCAGATCGAGTGTCAGTCAGGCAGTCGCATGTCACTCGTCTATTGATTTGTATTCTTTTTTTTCTTTTCACTTTTTTAAACATAACATATAGTAAGTTATATTTGTTATTGTTTTTCATGATTATATATATATATATATATATCTTCTGTTACTCTCTTGTCTTCTCATTATTGCATGTATAATTCGAAAATTTACTTGAGGTTTTATTTTTGTTAAATGACAACAAGATCAAGATCAGTAACATAAAGACAAAAAAAAGAAAAAAGAAATGGCCATCAGTCAAACAGTAGTTTTTTTCACTTAGAAAATAATTTTTTTTTGTTCGTTAGAAAAAAAAGATTTACACTCGAAACCTTAAAAATGTCTATAAAGATGATTAGATGGTGTAGACCTTTAATAAACATATTATATTTGTAAAAATACGAATATATATTTATGTATGTATAGTTTTTGGCATGAAGTAGAAAAATAATATGCGACAAGAAGAAATAGAAAAAAAAAAACAGAAAAAAAATACCAGATCTATTTATAATAAACCAGTTCGTATGTTTTACATTGAGAGGGAAACCAGTACGTTTTTTAAAAATAGAAAATAGTTACCATCTTTTCTACTCTTCGGGGGTAGGAATTTGTAGGGTGTGTCACAAATTCATTTTGCAAGGATTTTTGAGAGTTCTACTCTTTTTTTTATAAAAGATGCAAAGTTAAGTGGAAGTATCTTTGCAGAAATATGCGCTATTAATTAATGTTGTGTTCCAGTTTAATGGACTCTCTGTTTCTAGACGACTTGTTACGAAAGCAGAATCTCTTTACATCGAACCTTTTAAGAAATTAGATTTAATACTTCCGCACACACAACACTAGACTATACAAAAAATCTGTCTAATTATAAGAGAGCCAATTGAGTTCTTACTCTTCAAAAATGCTGTATTTTTGTAATCATGAAAGTCTAGTATTACTGATCAACACTGTTATATTTTCTGGTTAGCAGACATAAGCGTTATACGTTAACCGAATGACTGCCAAATCTAGAATTTCGTCTGTCCAAGAAAAGATGTGAAACTGTGTAGTGAAATACTTACAACACATTTTGCCGCGTCACTATGAAAAGCTAAGGTCAGGGTAGCCAGTTCCGGAGAGGAAAGGGTGTATACCCCCTACTAATTGAAATATTTTCGTTTTTTGACCACTTAGACAGAGAAAAAAAACATTCCATACTAAAAAATTGCATACTGCATCTGCTAGAATTTTTTTACATTCCCCTAATGTTGAAACCCTACTGACGGCTCTGGCAAAGGTTCGCAATTTTTTTTTGAGAAAAGCGTCAAAAGATTCATCTGACTACTTTTGCATATTTGTAATAAGTTTTAGATGAAGTTTAAATGCAAATTGATTTGATATGGGTACAATATCGAGCACAATTGAAGAAAAATTAGCTATATGTTTTCTACCATCAACAACACCAAAATTTCACCGACGACACAAACCTTCTGCGTCAAAAATTCTCTTGTTAGGTTTGGACAATGCTGGCAAAACAGATTTACTCAGAAATATTACGCAAAATGAGTCTTTACAGAACAGACCAACGATAGGTATGAGATATAAGTTCATGACAATGTTTTCTCATACATAAAGTAACTCTCTTCCTAATAATCTTCGATTAGAAATTATTTGAAATTTTGCATTGAAGAAAACTGGTACCCGAGATGAGTGCGACAATTCAGTGTACTATAAAATATGTTGTGTTACTATATTTAGATCCGAGGGTTCTATACTGATAAGCTGTTTTATTATTTAGGTTATAATGCTGAAACAATTCGTTTGCGTTCATTTCGTCGAAGTAAAAAGGTAACATTATGGGATTGTGGTGGTAAGATGTGTTTAAGAAAAATGTGGCCATATTATTATTCCGATACATCTGTCCTTGTATGGCTAATAAATTCAAATGATCGTTCGAGATTAGAAGAGAGTTTGAATGCGTTGACAACTACACTAAATGATACATCGATGTATAAAGTTCCACTGTTAGTTGTACTGTATCGTCCACTGAATATTATGTCATCATCATATCAACAAGGATATACTATCGACGTGTCTGATGAAGCACAATTAACTAGTTTGGAATTAGCATTTCGTTTATCGTCTAAGTTACCTAATATTGATCTTAAGTGGCAGGTGATTAATGTTACTGGAAGTAACCAAAAAGATTTGAGAAAAGTGAATACATGCCTGTTAGATATGATATCGCAATGAAAAGTCAATCAAGTGGAAATAAGAATCTATAAATGTCAAATCAATCCTACCACGATTAGACTTTAAGTTTGAACATTCTCTATGGATGATGAAGTGGGTCCTCTAAGTAACTGTTATAGACCTAGAGGAAAGATAATTGCCTTTAAATTCTATAGGCTGCGACAATTTTTGGATTTTCAAGTATAATAAGAAGGTTTGACTAGTGGAAAAGTAGCCGACCGTAAAGTAAAGCACAATTCTCATTGACATTTTGTGCGAGTCCAACAATTAATGAAAATGACTCCCAAACAGCAGATCCATCCCTATTATGATAGGTGGTCACCTGCATTTTATGTAGAGATTATGAACATGTATGCCGCGGCTTATTACTTGAGTTAGCCAACATAGAGCAAAAACTTTTCACACGAAAACATATCAGGAAACGTCTAACATTCGGTGTTCAATTCATGTGGGTCATTTCATATCTTGAAAACAAATTCGGCCTCTACTTGAACTTTCCAGCATCTTTGCAGTTGTTATCATTTAATGCTTAGGCGTTATTGTGCTTTTCAGTCATACAAATGACAAGGCACCGTTAAATCGGAAGCCCATTTCGGAAAATAGTATAAAGAAGTAAAAATCCATTTCCATCCATCCAAAAAAAAAAATCCATGCACATTGTGCTGTTACTTTTTTTGTTAAAGTTGATAATTTAGCTTAAGCTGCGCAAAGGCTCTATCACACACACAAAATTTACTTCCCATGCGAATAGAAATAAACTTTCTAAATGAAAATCTTAGATGGAGAATACATGTGAATGATCTGATTAGATCCTGCAAGCAATGTCTCGATACAATGTAGCACTAGTTCAAAGAAGTACCCGCTTCCATACAGACACAAACACTCAAATATAACGAACACGATTGAGGGAGGCTACTGTAGATCTCTAGAACTATAGAACTGTGCATATTGAACGTTATGCAATATCTAGAAGTTTTTAGAAATATTGTAACCGTTGGAAGAGATATTTTTATCCATGAGATGCTACATACCTCTGTCACTCTGTCTATACTACTCTGTCTGTATATATATACTCTGTCTATATACCTCTGTCATGAGATGCTACACCCTCACACATGAGAGAGCACTGAGTGACTTAGAGTACGCGTACGCATTATATGCACAGTGGGCATTCAGGTGGAAATTTAGAAAAAAACAGTGAGTTTGCTTTTTGCCAATTTAAATAGTGTTTCATATACTTCGAGTGACGGCCGATTTAATGGGGAAAGAATTTTTATTCTACGACTTTTCCTTCTATAAAAGATTTGAAATACAAAAACATCATGTAAATGCGCTATTTTTTCGGAAAATTTCGATTTTTATTGAAGGATAGTAAACTAGAATAGAATCGAGATCATATTCGGGAAGAATACAGTCAAAAGAATACAAAATAAAAAAGAATTTTGTTTTTCGAGTGAAACTTAAGAGTTTTGGAATGGATTCTTTCGAAAACTCGTCTAGGCTGTAAAGGCTCTCTTCGGTATTTTGAGAACGCGCAGCTTAGCGCAAATCTGAACTAACATATTTTTATACCAAAATGTTCCTCGCGAGGCCGTGCATCTATCGTGAATGCGCAAAAGTGCGCATATTTTCTTGGACTGAGATATCGGTTTTCCAAAAACCCAGGTTTCTGAAGTAAAAACCAATTTTTTCACTTGAAATACAATTTTTTCCGAATAATATATACATATTCGGAATCAGCGTGAAAGACTGAATCGAATGATGTATGAGTCAAAAATTCTCTGCCGGTATATTTGGATTTTGTCAAAATCCTGACTGTGAAAAGCCGTCCGTAGCGATGAAAATTTTTAATTGGCCTAAAAAAATGTATTTTAACAGCAGCCGAGAGGTCTATAAAAAATTTTCCTGTAGGTTTTCGTGTACGCTAATTCCAAAAAGGAGCTTTACACAGTTCCAAAGCGGTTTTCAGAGACCGGATCTCCAGAAAACCCCTTAAAAATCATCTTTTAACTTTGAAAACCACTTTTTTAGAAATAGCACACCCGAAAACCTATAAGGAAAATTTTTTTTAGAGGTTCGGATAGCTTTCAGATCACATGTCCGCCTGTTCTAGCAAAAAATGTCCACTGTGCTATGATGGTTCCTTTACTAACATATAGACTCGTCTTAGATCAGTATAAAAACTGGCGACATACATGATTTCATAGAACTCTGACACACCGAAGAAAAATCTAACACCTATACTGAATGTAAGAAGAAAATATTTTTGTCTCATTCTTTTATTCAAAATGCTGAATGGATTCGTTTCATTCTCAATACTTAATCTCATTCTACCGATGATTTATCTAGCAGACGAGCATCAGTTTGCCATGTCAGAAATAAATAATTGATTGTCGAAAAACAATTTTTTGCAAAAAATAATAGTATTTTAGACAGTAGCCTTCGGGAAACATTTTTTCTGCTCCTTCGATAAACGAAACCTAGATAAATCACGGGATTCTACTGAATCTTGACTCGAATATCAAACAAATTAATTCAACTTTCCAGAACGTTAAAAGTTTCATTTATTTGAACGGAGACTGATGTAAAATCCTCCATTTACAGAATCGCCAGAGACTGAGTCGCAGTCTCTCGTTTCATCTGCCACTAATAAGAGACTTAAAATAAAATTAAAGGAACATCTAGAAATGGAAGGAAATTTATTAACGTGATTTAAACACTTTTATTATTTTTCTAAAAACAGAATATGCTTTTTTTTGACAATGTAGATACCAAGCTCTCATTCTTCTTGTATTGTTTACTTTAATGTAAATTGTTTTTTTTTATTGCGGTCAAAATGAACAGTTCATACTTGACATGTTAAAATGAAACGATAACTAAAGAAGCTAATTTATTTTTAAAATAAACTATTAAGCGTTGTTTGTTGATCGCTATAATGAACATACAACAATTACACAATGGAAAAATCTCTATCACAACTATTACTTATTCATGATAAAAGTAAATTTTAGTTTACATCAAGTATAGATAAGTTAAACGGATGATATTTATTTTTCTTCACCAATTTCCGACAAAAAAAAACATCGGAATAGTTCTACTTCATATCAAGTTTCTTGTAAAACAAATATAGAAAAATTAATTGAATTATGTATAATATTCTCCAAGTACACAGATATTTTTTTGTTCGATAGGTTTTTTTAAACAAATCCACATATATAACCAATTTATATGAAAAAAAACAGGCAAATAATTTTTTCTTCTATGAGAAATAAAAGCCTCTAGTAAAATTAAAGAGCCAATGTATATATGGTACTTTTTTTATACAAATAGGTATTGAAAGTCAATACTAATACAAATTGAATGGTGTGTATAACAAAATTTATTCAATTTATTATAAAAAAATTGACTTACTATAGTCAAACGTTCAAACGATTTATTAAAAAAAATAAATAAACAGTCTACAACTAATCCGGTAAATTCATTACTAATTGACGATCTTTTTCGATTTGATCATCATATTCGAATGTATCAAATTGATCTAATTTTCTCATTAAATCCATTTCTTCACGATTATTTGGTATTCTCCACTTTTCATTCTAACACAAACAAAAAAATATTAAAATAAAAAATGTATTATTCTAATAAACAAACCTTTAAACGATTAATTTTTGCTTGTTGCAAAAATAAATGTCTTAATTCATTGTGTGTATCACGTGCACACTCAATCAACTTTTGCTCATCTTCAGTATTTTTAGCTTGTACAAATTCTTCATATTCTTTCTCTAAAATACTAAAAGTAAATGTAAAAAATAAATTAACAAATAATTTTTCTACAATATAAACCTCGTTGAACTTTTGCTTCATTTAATTCTTTTTCTGCTTTTGTTACTGCTTTTCCTACATCAGAAAAAAGAAAATGATAAGTATTTAAAAAAAACTATTGTTTTTTTTTTTCGTTAGAGAATCTACCCTTTGATTGTGAACTATTCAATAGACGACCTTTTGTACGCTGATTAATTTCTGGACATACGAGACTCGATTCTACAGGTGGAAGTAATACTACTGAATTCCAAAACTGTTTCGCTAGATCAGCATCTTCTTTTTTCGAACCATCAAAAACTGTTAATTCCGAATTTTGACGAGTATCTATCTCATATACTGATGGCTGAATGAGACCTGTAATAATAATCAGAAGAAATAGTCAACTTTTAAACGATACTAGGGGAGAGACAAGATAAAGAAAACAAAATAAAGTTTGCTATTGAGTTTTTCATCATTAGGAGTTTCAAGTTTTAAAAAAGAGATATTTTATACATACTCATCATAGGTGATTCTTCGACGTCGTTCTAAATAACCATTGTATAGAGCGAGTAAAACATTTATATTTTTTTTAGTCATTTTTAACATCATCACTATGATAACGTTGTTAAAAATGAGATATGCGTATATGTATGACGGCGCATCAATGCATATCTTTTCCATTGGTAGATTTTACCATCAATAGATGAGGAGATGAGAAAATCATATAGAACCAAAAAAATAAACAACAACCAATAAATCTTGAAAGAAAAATATATTTTTATGATATTTTAAAAGATTACATTTAAAATAGCATAGTGAAATTTGATATGTGTAGAATCCAATCCTTCCATTTACATAAATGAGATTTTCTAGTTTAAAAGAAAACTCTTTCACTTTGAGAGGATGTCTCACATCTAGAATGCTGTTCAGAATTCTTTCTTTTTGATTCTGAGCTAATGAGTAGATGTAAAACATATTTTTAAAGAACTTTTAAGCTTAAAGTCGAATAAGTTAAGCTCAAGCTTTGTCATGGAGTTTTCGCAAAGGATAAGTTGTTTAAGGGTCGTGACGGTGCGAGTAGGTTGGAGCAGGGGATTGTAGTTTCAAAAAACGCTTCTGGTAACAATTACGGTTTATTTCATTAGGCAAGAAATTACGAGACTAAAAATTTGTCACGCAGAACTCTAGATGACAGTGACAAGTCCGCTTGTTCACTATGGTTATTAAAAACACCGCGATGAGACAGTGATAAAGTGATAAAAATTCGTATTCCTGATGAAACAAAAAATAAAATTATTTAAATGAATTTACTTTTTATTTACTGTTTGTATCCATCTATTTATTCATTGATTTGATTTTTTTCTATCTCAGTCGATTAATCAGTAAAAACAGATGTGCTTTATTATAACGAACTACACAACTAAAAATTAGCATAAATATACTATCATCCATTCGTAAGCTCAGTCTTATTATGAGAATTTTAAGCAAAGCAGATTTCCACAGTTTATCACCACGTTTCTTCATGTTCTCCCTTCTAAAAATCAAAGTGAAAATCCAATTTTCAAAGGAGATACCCATTTTAGATTCAACAATAATTAAAAACTCTATACAATGTCGTTTTATTCTCTTTTATGTTTTAGAATGACTGAAAAACGTCCACGTTTCGAAATTTTACCGGTCTCCGAGATTACTGAACAATCATCGATAACAATGCCAATAGATACAAGTGTTGATATTGTTAATGAAAATCCTATACTTTCTCCTCCACCACCAGCCCCTTTACTCCCACCATCGATACCCTCATCCAGCTCCTTACGTACAAGGCGAACATTGAACCTAAGTACATATTTAAAAAAGAAGTCATTGTATAATAGTCGAAAGTTTTCCACAGTTGCTAGTTTCGATCTTCCAGATTTAAAAACGTATTATCCTGTAGACGAGCCTCTATTACACAAACCATTATTATGTTTAAATTCGTTATCAGTCGTAGACAGTAAGGAAACTAATAATGTGGTTGATACAAAACAGTCTCTACCCAGTGATGACACCGATCTTCTGTCAATGAGCGCAACTGAATATGATCCATATGCAACAACTCATTCATCACAAACTCAAGATGATACTTGCAAAATCACAAATAAATTTTTAAACGAATTACGTCGAAAAGGGCGTGAATTACGTGAAAGACGTAACAATATGCCAATTGATCAACGTATACTTCAACATAAATCTCATCAATTACGTGCACAAGATATTTTTGATGTTCATTTTGGTATAGACGATTATGGTACCAAAGAGGTGACATGGGGATGGAATATCGATCCATCTGATGAATATAATCAACAAATAAAAACACCACATATCTATGATTATAATTTGAATAATATAGTTAAAGTACCATTACTATATGATGAAAAAGTTCAACAACAAATTAAAGCCGATATTTATGATGAATTAAATCGACAACGAAACAAAACATTATATAAACAACATCGTCATATTTTTGTGGGAAGAGTTTTATTTATATTAGTTTCATCATTTTTTGGCTTTATGGCGTTCACGTTGATATATGTTGTATCAAGTTTATATAATCGAGCGGATTATGCCAAATTGCCCGATAGTGAATTTCTTTCAATGATTTATGATACAACTACTACCAGTTATTGAATGAAGAAGTAAAAAAAAATTGTGAATCAATCATTTAAATTAAGACTCGATCTGATATTTTGGTGTTTAAAGAGTTAGCCTCTGTATTTCAAATTCTGAAGTACCCGTCCTATGCACATTGAAATTTAGGAAGAAATTAACTGTACTATCACAGTCAGGAGATAGTAAATCTTCAATCTCTCCATAGGAAACTAGAATATTAAATCCCCAAAGAAGAAGAACCTATAAATTCTTGTTTAGGAATGTCATAGACACCATTACTTTTATGTTCCAAATAACAATAACGAAATAATCGAAAAGATCACTATTTGCAAAAAATAACTACAATTATTGAGTTTACTAATTATGCAAGTGACTAGTAACCAGGGAATTACCGTTTATTCCTCAAAGAGTAACTCAGGAGTATCGTTGACAGTAACGAAAAGTAATGATATTTAATAATTAATTGAGAACATAACGAGGACTGGACGCTCACTCTTGTCGTTTAAATGCTCACTAAGACTTGTAACAATTCTTGTACAACCAGTAGGATAGATTCAAATATATTGAACAATCTCTTCAGGGCAATAAAGAGTTTTTAGATCATCTGAACATTTGATGATTTTTTCCATAGGGTGCTAATAAATCAATGTGAATTTTACTTTTTGTTAACAGGGGTTGTCTTACCAAAATAATGCTTCAAGTGATAATTCGTGTTCTTTTTCTTTATATCACATCACATTTATTCTAAACTTCCTATTTTCGTCTTATATTGTTATGATTTTTATTACTGAATTATATTTGTTTGTTTTTCATGTTGCACTAGTAATATTTTGATAGGTAATCACTTGAATCTTTTTCATACCTTAGTATTTTGATCCTTTAAATCATCTCTATGAGAATATTAGACTCATTAGCAATAAAAAGGACTTTTTGGTAGAAAAAAATATGTAAATTGAAATTAAACTCACTTACTAGATCTGCTATTCGATCTGTTGCTGTGTCTTGCCACGTACAATGTCATTAAATTTTTTTTTCTATTTCTTAAACTGAAAATAACGATGAATATTTACACAAACAACAAACGTTATAAATGATATTTTTCTATATTATTTGGCTTTCTGGTCTAATCAGAATGATTTTTTTTCGAAATTGTGAATTAGCGTATAAAGAGAATAATGAATGGTTTTTATTAGTCATATAATTTTTGCTCATTTTTGGTATAGTCAATAATTTTTTTTTTATTTGATTCTGTTCAAACTTCTATCTTTCTTCCCATGTGATTATTTTATTTTATGAGTGAATATTTTTTCGAAATGATCTGTGTTATTTCAGAGGATCAACATTATTGTTTTTTTTTTTATAAATAAAAATAAATGTTATTTGCTATGCTTTCACAAATACATGTTCTGTAAGTATTCCACTTAGTACAGTAAAGATTATTTTACAGACATTGTTTGTTTGTTTTTGAATTTCACAATTGTTTAAATTTATTGATTTCTGTATTTATTCCACTTATTATTCTCAAGTTTACTTTCTATCTTTTTATTTTATTAAAATAGTATGTGATAACTCAGTTCGCGTTACACCACTGTCAAGGTTAACAACGTCGTCTGGTGCTTGAGTTCATTGAATAGCGCAACTTTTTCGAGATCTCGGTGTCGTTCTCGATTTGTCAATGTTAAACCCTTCCCAAACTCACTTGAACGCGAATAGTTTTTTTCCAGTAAAGTCTTTCATTTGTACATTAGTAAATTTCTACTCTTAGAGGAGAAATACTTCATTAAAACATTACGACACACGAATATCGATGGATAGAAGTACAAATAAGAGAAAATAGTCAGATGAAAATGATGAGTATGAACAATTAACAGCCAAGAAGCAGAAACTCAATTAAAAGCGACCGTGAACATCAACAAAGCTAAGAAAATAATTTTTTCTATTTCTATGTTTTTTTGTCTTGAATAAAATAGTAGAAGTTACCTGAGAAAAATAATGCAACTTTTAAAGTAGAAGTCCGATCCCGTTCAAACGAGCTCAATCCCGTTCCGAATTCAAACCCTCAAAAAGATGTTCGAAATCGCGATGGCAATCCAATGAGAATAACGATGAACACTGGATAATTTCCATATTTTTCAAAATTTTCTCTTAGTAGAATCCAGTAGTAATGTTTTTATTTAAAAAAATTTAGAAATTTGAGTTTAGTGCAAAGCCGAATTCGTCATAATATCACATCGTTGAAAAATACTGTGCGTACTGGTACAAGAAACCGGCCAAAACAGCGTGTACCCGTGTATTTTGTTTCAGATTCTCATTAAAAACACTGACATAAACAATTAATTTTGTATGACTCTCTCCCAGTGAATCGATTTTATTTACTAGGTTTTTTCTGTATACATGGTTGTTCTAGATATCGCAATCATTATCATGTCTATATCGAAAATAAAACAGCCAGTAAAATCATTTAAAAATATAGAATTTGAAGCATGTTTAGACGAAGGTGATAAAGCTAAACAGATGGGTAAATGGTTATTAGAAATATCATGGGAAATAGCAAACAAAGGTAATTTCTTTTCACCTCTCTCTAAAGTTAAGATAGAAAAAAACATTTCTTTGGTTTTTTAATTTTTCAGTTACTGGCATTTATAAAGTTATTAGATCAAAAGTTCCTATAACAAAAAAAGAATATGGTAATAATTTTATTTGTATTGGACCTTATAACGATTCATTTGTTAAAAGTGAAGTTGAAATATGTGAACCACGTATGAATGTAGTTAAAGCAGTTGTTAATGATATGAAACGTTATGGTGTTCATGTATGTAATGATGTTTTCATATATAACTAAGATAAATAAGAAATTCTTTTTCTGTTTGAAAGGTTGTGACTGGTAATTGGCTTATTGAAGGTTTACCACAGGTTGTTCTATTTGATACTGGATCGGCAGCAGATCGTTTAGATGGATGGAGAAGTGACTTTTTTGAATATGCCAGAATTCAAATACCATATCATGATAAAGAAGCCAATGATGCAGTCATATTTGGGTTTTGTGTTTTCTGGTTTATTGGAATAGTAGGTTGTTGTTATCTTCGTTTATTCATTGACTTTTCATTCACTTACACAACAAAATTCTTGAGAAATATTTGACGAAAGCAATACATAGGTTCCCCAAATGTTATAAGAATAAAGTAACAGATTTTCATCACTTTTTCTGAATTTCAGTATTTCGAACGATTTTTACTCATATTCTTGTAGTTATAATTGTTCGGTGTTACTTGTTATATGTTTTGAAAATGAACAGTTTGAAAACGCTATTCGGTGACTGTACACAATCGGAAGTGAGTGAAAAGTCAAGAAACAAATAAGAGCTGATTTTTTTTGTTAATTCAAAAATCTTGTTTTGCTTTTGAAAATTTTGTAGTTTAGTGTCAGTTATTCACTTCTCTCCATATTAACAGCGTTTATTTACGTTTTCTGTTTAGTTTCTTAAAAAATTAAAATTTTATAAACGTCGTTATGTAATTGCGCATTTTCATGAATGGTTAGCTGGTGTTGGTTTAATTATGGCACGTTTACGTGGTTATGATTGTGCATTAGTATTTACAACACATGGAACATTATTAGGAAAATGTTTATGTGGGAGTTCAACTGATTTTTATAACCGTTTAGACTCGGTAAGAAGAAAAAATTCTGTTCAAAAACAGCAAAAATGTTGTTCAAGTGATTAAGAAAAGCTTTAGAAAAATTTAGAGAGATTTCCATTCAAGTACGATTGTCTATTTTAGGAAAGAGATAGAAGTTTCGAAGTATTTGAGTGATTGTTTGCCCCTGTGGGCTTAAATCGCAATAACAAAGTCTTCTCTACTTTTCAGCTTTTTTACACACTCGACATTGTGCTATAAAGTTTAAAAAACCATCGAAACGTTTCTTTATGCTTTTCTATGCAGACAAAAAGCTTTCTTTAGCAAAACATGTACTCTCTTTTGAGATTATCTTTGTCAGATGTCCAGCGCTGACCTAGCTCACAAAACTTGTTCTTCGTTCAAAAATGTCCTATGACATCTTTACGAATGATTATTTACATCAACATTGACTTACCAGAATTTAGACTAAAATCGAGGATCACATTAATAATGTGAAAATCTATACAATTGCTTTTGGTTACTTTAAATGTTTCTGTTTAGTTTAATTCGGATAAAGAAGCTGGTGATCGTCAGATATATCATCGTTATTGTATTGAACGTGCTGCTGCTTCATGTGCACATGTATTTACAACAGTATCAGGAATAACTGGAATCGAGTCCGAATTTTTATTGAATAAAAAGCCAGGTAAAGGGAAAAGAGTGATTTCTCTAATGCAAAGTACGATTGTTTTTTGTTTAATTCTCTTATTTATTTTTTGTATCTAAGATTTATTAACACCAAATGGTTTAATTGAACAACGTTTTGCTGCGTTGCATGAATTCCAAAATCTTCATGCACAAAATAAAGAAAAATTACATGCATTTGTACGTGGTCATTTCTATGGGTAAGACGAGAGAAAGAGTTGATAGTTTTGTACAAGGAATATTTTCGTGGGTATCTAAAGCAATAAAGAGAAAAAGAAAATTATGCATATCAGTGCTATTTAACTTTGATTTCGCATTTATTTCAAGCAAACTTATTAACGGAATTGACAGTATTATCGTTTTGCCATTTATTTTTATTAATGACTTAGGATGATTCTGTTTTACTTTATTAAATTCAATGATGTTTCATGTCTATTTTCTAGCCACTATGATTTTGATTTGGATAAAACACTATATTGCTTTATCACTGGTCAATATGAATTTTTTAATAAAGGTGTCGATATGTTTATTGAATCATTAGCAAAATTGAATGATATGCTTAAAGTAAGAAGTGTTGATATTTTAGTGCTAATTTTTCATTGTTGTTTTTTCGGAATGAGTAACTGAAAACTGACTTGAATTCTGGATCGTTGACCCTCTTTTCTTTGTTTCGAAAATTTCTTTATATAGAAAAAAAACATAATTTGACTATTTCCAACATTGATTCCATATGCAGAACTGTTGTTGCACCTATTTGAACTCATTTTTCTTATTCTTCTTCGTTATCCATTCTAATATTCATTAAAAGATATTGATATACTCTTTGCTTCATTTTTGTGTCAAATGGAAAGTTGTAGTCGAAAATCTGTCTGAGGTCGTGTTCTTTGATTCAGAAAAGTGAAGAGTAAAGCTGAGGGACCACCACAACCAGATTTTTTTTAACAATTTGAGAAAGCTGTATAATAACAGAAAAAATTCGTAAAAGAATTAGTAACTAAAATTTCGGATCGTTGACCTGCTGCTTATTGTATAGTTGATGATATTCAGTTTATTTTTATATATTGAAGACTTTTTCACGGCTGTCCACCCCAAATTTATCTACATACTTTTAGGTTGAATATTGCGATCGGTCAATAAAAGTAAACAACTACTAATCAGAATTTGAAAAGAGAGTAATCAGCATTTGCTCACAAGTTTTGCTCCTGAATATGGGTGTAGTCGTAACGCTTACAAATTATGAATGTCAACGGTATTTCATCAATTGAAATGCACTGATCTAAGATTCTTAAATGAGTGAAATCTCTATTTTTTCGATAAACGATGATTTTGGGTGAAGATCTCTTGTCTATCAAAAATGTTCGAGAAATTTCACCTGTTTTTCTGCTCGTTTTTTGCTTGTTTTCTGCAACTCAGATTTTCTCAGTAAAAACATTAAACCAATACATTGTTCTCTGAGTTTTGGTTTTCCTAATATGTATACATGCGAAGAAAATCTTTTCCTGCTTAACTGTTTAACTATCTTTGTTTTTGGTCGTTTATTTTTTTAGTCACTTGGTTCCGATATGACCATTATTGCATTTCTGATATTTCCAACAGCTACAAATAATTTTAATATTGAATCATTACGTGGCCAATCTATTGCAAAAATGTTACGTGATACTGTACAAAATGTTCAAAGTGAAATTGGTAAACCTTTATATGAAGTTTGTTTAAAGTACGTTTCAAAAAACAAAGGCTAATTCAAATCTTATTAGTTTTTCTTTTATATAATAGAGGATGTGTTCCGTCGGCTGATGAAATTTTACATACAGAAGATATGATTGAATTAAAAAAATGTGTATTGGCATCTGAGGTACAAATTCTATCAATTATTGCAGTTTATTGTCTGTTCACTATTCAATGACTATTCAATGTCGTAGGACCATAGACATTTCTTGATAGTAGATTAAGTTTTACGCCGTGTGTATGTAAGATAAATGAACCCTTAGGAAATTTTCATTGGACTCTCCTATCTCATTCCGTACTTGTATATTTTAAAGTGTCTTTTATACGGCAACAACGATTATTGCTGTTGTTTTGATTTTTATTGTTCGTTGTTGTTCTATATCAGATTCAATTGTCACTGGCATTTGAGGGGTGTTTTCGTCCCTTAAATACGCAGCTGAACGTCGAATAATCGGTTTACAGGAGCACCTTTTGATTTCTTCGTTTAATCGACGAAGATGCGCCGTAACTTGTTATTCTCCTAGAAATCATACAGCGTTTAGACAAACAGTCTAGATATCTCTAGTCTAGTTATTCAAAAACTAGCAAACTGAAAAAATGTTGAGAAGAAAAATCTCAACAGGCAGATAGAAATCTCAATATCAACTGGCAGGTGTAATATAGAGTCGCTCTTTATTTTTAATGTTTGTTTCTCTTCTTTTACTTGAAGCGTTCATCTTTACCATCCATATCTACACACAATGTTGTTGATGATAGTACAGACCCAATATTAAATTCATTGCGCCGTTATCAATTATTTAATAATCGTTCTGATCGTGTCAAAGTTATATTTCATCCAGAATTTTTACGTAGTACAAATCCGTTATTACCATTAGATTACGAAGAGTTTGTTCGTGGTTGTCATTTGGGAGTATTTCCATCATATTATGAACCATGGGGTTATAGCCCAGGTAGATAACAGTCATTTACACATAAAACTGACGCATATAATGTTTTTGCTTTGTTGGTCTTTTTAGCTGAATGTACAGTAATGGGTGTACCAGTTATAACAACAAATTTATCCGGTTTTGGTTGTTTCATGGAAGAACGTATTAGTGATCCTAGTTCACACGGTATTTATATTGTTGATAGACATTATAAAACTGCTGAAGAATCATGTCAACAATTAACAAAAGTACGACAAGAAAATGAAATGATTATAACTGTTAAAACGACATTGTCTTTTGTTTTAGTTTATGTTTGATTTTTCACAATTAACAAGACGTCAACGTACTATGTTACGTAATAGAACAGTACGTTTAAGTGAATTATTAGATTGGAAAACACTTGGAATTGTAAGTGCTAGATACAATACATAGTTATTGTTTAATAATGCAATTATTTCTCCTTTTTTTGTTTTCAGTATTACTATAAAGCACGTCAGTTAGCTTTACAGCGAGTTCATCCAGAAATGGAAGGAGAAATGAAGCTAATTGTAAGTATTATCTGTTGTCAAAGATTGCTATAAGGGTCGTACTAATTTTCACACAATTAAAAGTCAGGAAAGATTTTATTTTGCACTCGTCGAATTATGTAGACCCACATTTCATTTTAAAACAAACTATGGTAATAGGGCGGAAAAGCTTGAGGTAATCCCTCTTTTATTCGCCGTTGAACAAGATCTGTTTTTGAAATTTATTACTTGTGTGCTCAAATTCGAATAATTTGAGAGAATTTTTAAAATTGACGTACACAGTGGAGTAATTTAAAAACTCAAAACTTACATACGAAATCAAGTTAAGTTAAATATCAGTTAGGAGAACTTTTTTTCATTATTCAATTTAATTTTAACTTTATGTTTAGTTTACTAGTCGCTCTGCTATACGATATAGTTATAAAAACACACAAAATATACTCATTGCAACTACGTCTTCAGGTTTAACGTTAAGCTAACAAATTAATCCTACAAAAGACTTTTTGTTTGTTTATTTTGTGTCAATATTAATTAAAATTTATTTGTTTAGACAAATCCAAAATATAATCCTGGAAAAACACTTCAATCTAGAAGATCATCTTCATCGTCATCTTCGTCTTCCTCTTCTACAGAAAGCTCATCAGCATGGTCGGATGAAGATCGTAAAATGAAATTAAAAGAAGCTGAACGGCAGCAAGAAGCATCATCCACACCCATTCAACTGACTGACGATATTTTACTGGGTCCATATAGTCACAATGAGATAATAAGTAAGATTTAGTAATAATTC